ATATATATATATATATATATTATATTTATAAAATTGTAAATAATATAATAAAATTATAATATAGCAATATAATATAGCAATATTTATTATTTTATTATATTTTATTATTTACCTTTCTGTGTACCTTGATGAAACAGAAGTAGATCTTGCAGTAGTTGATCTAGAGGTAGTATATGGAATTGATGTTACAATACTCTGTTTCGTCGAAATCGTTTTTGGATCTAAACTAGATGCGAAATTCTGAAGTGAACCAACAGTGGTCGCATTCGACGAACTTGGTGGCAATTTTAACTCTCCTTTTTTAATTTTTTCTACGATAGACTTTACTTCAATTCCTTCTTTATCCGCATTTCCTTTTACCCCTTGTATCTTATAACTACCATCAGGCTGCTCCTCCAATACGACAAATGTTACCTTTTTCGCTGGTAGATTGTGAATCGGTGTTTTCCCAATCTCTTCTAATTTTCCATCGCTTTTTTGTCTAATGATTTCAAAATCTGCTCCAGGAGGAAGCACACCCTTTGTTAATTCCTCAAAAATAGCTTTTGGCGGTTTGATAGTCGTAGTCGAGGTAATTAACGCCAAAGTAGAGGTAGTCAATGTTGATCCATCGGTTGGGATATTAGAGGTTAGACTGTTTGAAGAATCGATCAACTGAACTTTTTTTCCATTAGGAAGCACGATATCTCTTGTATTAACATTCCTTGCATCATCGTCGACAGATTGAGCTAAAGCCAATTTCAATTGTTTCAGCAAAATTTCTCTTTCTGATCCTAATGAAGTAGACCTAGTTTTTGTTGTAATATTCTTCGAAGTCATTGGTTTCTCAGTTTGATATATGATTTTGATTTGAGGTTTTGGTTTACCCTGTTGAATGAATTGATTCTGTTGTTCCTGAATCAAACCCAATAGATTTTCTGGTATAGTCGAAGTTACTGTTATCTTCTCTTGATAGGTTTTGGGCGAAACTGTCGAAGTGGGTTTATAGGTCCTTATAGTGGTTGTTATAGGTGAAATCGGTGTAGTGGTAGAATATTTCTTTTGATGAGTGGCTATTGCCTTTAGAAATAGATCTGTTTCCGATGGAGTAATTTTTCTCGTTGGTAGTGACACGAGTACAGGAGTCGCTGTAGTGCTGACATCTATGGTGCTAGCAGAAGTGACAGAAATAGGTAACGAAGTTGTAGAGGTTAGTTTCTGCAGTTGTTGAAGTCTCAGCAATTCCTGCTGTCTTCGTAACTCCTGTTGTTCCAATAATAATTGTTGTCTTTGCTTTTGCAGTAATTCTAATTCACGTTGTTTTTCTAAATATTCTTGTAATTGTAACATTTGTCGATCATTGAACAAAGGTTGCGACAAATCTTGTTGAAGATTTTGAAAATGATTGTTAGTGTTTTGATATTGGCTACTATATTGTTGTTGGAATTGCTGTTGTTTGATAGGTTGAGATTGAAACTGGATTTGACTATTCAGATTTGGATTATTGAGTTGTTGTGCTATTTTTTGTTGTTCCTGTATCAACTGTTGTACTTGTTGTTGTTGTTGGTACAATTGCTGAAGTTGTTGTTGCTTTGCACGATCTACTTTATACTTTGCTAGAGATGAATAAGATAAACTAGTTTGTGGTTTTGAAGCGGCTTGCTCGAAATTTGAAAAAGATCCTCGAGTATCGGATAACTCTTGGGATCGATGAAACCGTTGTTGGTGTTGTTGAACGTCGCTTAGTATTTGGGCCTGTTGAGAAGCTGAGAGACGTGGTCGTGGATCATGTGATGAATGACTCTATAAAAGAAATTATACATGTGTTAAACAAATTATATATTTCAGATAATGTAATTGAAAATTTTAAAAATATTTTTTAAAAAATAATTTTTGTTTTAATATGACATATAATTAAATCAAGATATTGGAATATTTTTAACATTTAAAAAATAACTTAAAATAAGTAAAAAGTATTTTATAGTACATCTAATAAAATTTTAAATGAATATTATATACAATTTTTAAATAAATATGTAAATACAGATTTTTAATTTTTTTACTAATTTTTAATTTTTTTATTAATTATTTTATTAATTAAAATAATTAATAAAATAATTTTGAAAATTTTAATGATATAATGATTATATATTTTGAAATAATATTTGAACTTATTTCTTGGATAAATAAAATACAAATATTTTATTTAGGAACTATGATATAAATATATATTATATGTACGTATATTATATATTATTTTTTTTGTTAAATTAAATTAAAGATTTAATGATACTAAAAGATTCAGAGATATACAATAATCAAAAATATTATTTTTAACAAATTTATAAAATTAATATACATATGATTTTTGTAGCACAAATTGTTTTATACTCAAAATTCAAATTTTGCATACAATTACATATTTGTGCTTTGTTATATATTTTTCATTTATCAATATTCTAATACAAAATCCTAATAAAATTTTTTTCTATGAAAATTTTTAATTTTCCAATAATTAATAAAATAAACGAAAACTATTTATCACGTTAATAAATTCAGAAAACCCACCAAAAATGTATAATCATGCGTAAAAGTTTGTATCAACTATGGAATAAATATAATTCAATAATTCATTTGAATCATGTTTAATTATCAACTTACAGATTTTGTAATTACTCATAAGTTAGTATATATTAATTAGTAGGAAATTAGTATATATTAATTATCATTTTTATTCGGAAAAAAGAAAGAAAAGAATCCGATGCAATCAAGATCGTGGTAATTAACACATCTATTATTTCAAGCTCCCTTTATCGTATACCATTCTACTAAGACTGAAACAATCTCCTTGGCTCTTCGAGAAAGTATAATTCATCGTCGTTTTCATTTCGCAGCGTCCTCGTGTAATGATTCTTTCGAATCTCGAATTCAAATTAAAAACTTTATAACATCTCGGTTCAGCACTGTTTTAGTTTTTTTCGTTCTTTTATTACCTTTCTCTTTAAATCATAGTATATAAAATTATGTATACTAATTATGTATATTAATGACGAAAAATTTAAAAAATTTAATATTATAATATTGTTAAAAATGTATAATCAATATGATATATTTTTATAAGTACATTATATAAATATTAATATATATATATAAAATTTATTTAAAATTCTATAATTTCAAAATGCTTTCTTGAAAAGTGTGATAAAAATGATGTATATAGAATATAGTGTTAATGTTTATAGTAGCATATAGAATATATTGTTAATGTTTATAGTTTTGATTTCTAATTAAATTAGCAAAAGATTCAATTTGGTTGCGATTGGAAAAAAAATTTTAATGGCCAAAAATAAGATATATCTGTTGTATTTTTATTTCACAAATCCAAATTATAGATAATTAATAATTATTTAATATTTTGCAATATTGTGATCCTTGCATATGTTTTTTTATGAATGTAATATAAAGACGTATAATTTCTTTTTAATTATAGGTAATGATTTTTTATAGAAAATAATAGAGTTTACAATATTATATTCTATAATTATATGCTTAATTAATTATGTAAATGTTTATTAATTTATATTATTAATAAACATTATTAATAAACATTATTAATTGTTAATAATTGTTATCTGAATTATATTTGTGGAATAAAAAAAATTAAAATATAATTTTAATTATTTGAATGTTTAGATGCAACAATTATGAATGAAAAAAATGAATCATTTAAAAAAAAACATTTAGTAGATGTATGTAATGATATTCTTATATTACATAATTTAATACTTTAAAATTAGTATCTCTTTTTTTATTAAATGTCATTGTTGCGCTTGATTAAGTATGACATTTTGAAGTTCGCTTGTCTGATAGTTAATAAAGTAAATATTTATTATAGTATTATTATTAATTGATTTCTGTAGTTCTAGTATAGAAATATCCAATATTTGTCACTATATTTCTCTAAATAAACTAAATAATATCATAATGTATTTTTACAATTATGAATTGATATTACAAATTAATATGAAGTATACTTAAATAAATTTATTATACATTAATAATATTCCATTATCGAATCAAATACATTTTATTCGAATTAAACAAATTTTTTGTATATGTGGAAATTCAAACAAAAATAAATTTGTATCTACAATTTAAGGGATTGACAAATGAATTGATAAAAATATTTTCTAAATCGTTCTATGATTTAGAAAATATTTTCTAATCGTTCAAAAAAAAATATTTCTTTACATTGAAAGAAAATTTGAAATTATAATAAAATGAATAACGCAAAAAAATTATGTTAGAATCGTCATAAATTATAACTTAATTAATCTTTTGGTCGTTTATTATCTATTTGATTACTTTTACTTAATCTCATTTTAGAAACAGCGTTAATAATCTTAAACGACATTAACACGAACAGTTTCGAATGTAAATATTTTTAAATTTATAAATTTATGTTAATATTTTGAAATAAATAAAATTATATTAATATTTCAAAAAAGAAATATTCGAATATTTATATTTTTGATTTTTTGAAATATAATAAATTCTTATATTGCTTATATATTATCATATTAAGAAGAATAACAACATCAAAATTATATACTTATAGAGATCGAATTATATATGTAACTACATATTTAAAAAAAAAAGTAAAAACAGTTCGTAAAATAGCAAAACAAAGTTACAAGAATTTGAAAGAAAATATTAAATAGCTATCGAGTAAGTGAAGAAAAGAGGAAGTTCTATATATTATATATAGTTTTATATATTTTATATTTTACATAGGAAAATTTAAACATTTAAAAAAAAACTAAGATTTAATGCAGAATTGTAGAATGTTATATAAATTGTATAATGTTAAATAATTGAACCTAAAAGAGCAAAAGTTAACAAAAATAGATAATACAAAAGTGATAGAATAAAAAGTTAGAGAAAGCAAAGAAATATAAATTGCAAGAAAGAAAATTTAATTACTATTAAGAAAGATTCAAAATTAGACATAAATACAAGTAATATAAAAGAGAAATGTGAATTTGAATGAATGGAAATAGATATAAGCATATAATTTAATAAGCATATATAATATAATATGAAATTAAATTTCAAATTGGATTAAAATTTAAATTTATTAGTTATTTAAATTCATTATTCAAGAAACTTAAACTGAATTATAATAAATTAATTGTAATTTAAACTCAAATTTAATTATAATTTACGTATTTATCTGTATTTTATGTAACAAGTTATTATGATAATAAATAAAGCATGTTTATACATTTATATAAATTCGAATTAATGCGCTTAAATGATTATTACCTATGTATTTATTAATTTGGTTGATTGAAGAAACTATAAATAATGGAATAATGTGATGTTAAAGTAACTTAGAAAATATATGGATATTTTTTAAAATTATGTCAAATATTTTGATTTTATTTAGGGATAATTGTATTCAATTGAATTTTCAAATTTGATTTTCTCTAAAACAACGTTTAAGTATGAAATTTTTTCTATATTTTCGATTCATTTTTAATTCTTTTTTTTTTAATAATTTGGAAAATTATAAATTTTTTATAATATTTTATATAAAATTATAGAATTGTATATGATTTTATCCAATACAAAATTTCTATTTATTAGAATATTAGATATTTTTTCAAATACAACTTTAATTATTTATAATTTTTTTTATTTTTTATAGTTTGTTTATATATTAAAAATTACAATTACAATTACAATTATAATCAATTATTATTTATTAGATACTATAATACTATTTCATTAATATGTAATTAATATTTATTATTAAATAAAAATATTTGATAATAAAATAAAAAATCAAGCCAATTTATTACTATTGTTACTTCTAGTGCAACTAATAGCTGTAACACTTTCTTCTTTTCTTTCTAATATTGTAATAATGACCATGTACATGTTCACATAAAAGTAATTTACAAGAACTCACATAAAAGTAATCAATCATGAAATATTTAAATAGATTAACAAATAGCAAGATATAAATAGGTTAAAACTAATAACTAGAACAAATTTTTACTTATTAAAATTACAGCTACTAATGAAACATGTTACTTAAAAATAAATATATAATAAATTATATTTGAGAACAGAATAAAATAATATGTATATTTATATTAAAAATGTAATATATATATTATAAATATACTGTTAGATGCAAAATTGGTTATAACAAATATTGATAATATGTATAGTATATAATATTTTATTATTTTTATGAAATATTGTTTAGCAATTAGATAATTTTTTAAAGTTTTTTCATATTTTTTAAGTAAGAAACTATTTCTCTTATTCCAATTATTTATTTGAATATTTATAAATCATGAATGATGTAACAAAATAAAATATTAACATACTACAAAAAATCGTGGGAACAAATTTTCTATTATTTTTAAAAATCTTTTGTGAATTTGTAGAAAAGAATTATTTTCATTATAAAAATTAAATTTTCTTCCGATTTTTAAAACATCAAGAAATATATTATATAAATATATTACATTATATTGAGATGTTAGTTTTCCCCGATTAGTATTACGAAAGACCTTCGGTTAAAAATAATTAAGAAAGACTTGTTAGAAAGTATAAATTTAGAAAAACTGTAATAGATTTGTGATATCAACGATAAAACATTGTTCATTTTTACAACAACGATAAACATTGTTCATTTTTACATGCATTTGTATGCCAATGTTGTCAGACTTCATGAAAGCATAACGAAATTATTTTGCATCGTATTATATTCAAATTTAAAAAAAATC